CCCCCCCCCCCCCTCCTCCCAACTACATTTCATCTCGGGTCTGTGTTAGATCTGCAGCAGTCCTCTTCAATATTCGTACATTTTGGAGGAACTGTGTTTAATGACCAACTTCTGAATCTTAGGCAGTAATCTGTGGGATTTAGGTATAACTTTTGATTGTCATCATTGGACGAGTGTTAAAAGGAACTTGTGATGTAATTGAATGAGCATTCACGTATAGGAAATCTTTCGCAGCCCCCTTGACTGGAAACTGTGCACTGTCTTCTTGATTAGATTATTTTTGCATAATTCCCTGATATGGGCGGAGGTGGTGTAGTGGCAAGTGGCGCACTATATCACACGCACGGTCAGGGGTTCGAATCCCGGATCGATGCCCGCCTAGGCCAACCAAGCCTTCCATCCCTCCGGGGTCGGTGAATTGGTACCAGACTCGTTTGGGAGAATAATAGCACTGACCTGTACATACATCGGCTGGCCACCGCAAGTCATTGTATAGGCCACATACGCACTCATTACGCCACTACGATTCTGAATGGAAGTCGAGTGCGGGGGGCGCATCCCTCAGACGGGATTGATTAACGCCAAAAACTTTATCCTTTTTATCCTAATTCCCTGATATTAGTGTCTCCCATGAAAACCGGCAGGCCTAACTGATGGGTGTGTTTTATTGACTATCAAATTTTCAGCTTCATCGATGGGAGTTCTCGACTACAGTCTGATACTGATCCTGTGGATGTTAAAACTCTGATCACAACGTCCCCAGAGGAAGACGGCGAGTGTCATGAGGATAGTACGAATAGCGATGATAGAAATAGCTATCAATGGTCAGATTCCCCTATTCCAGTCGAATTGCTACTTGGATGTCCGACTTGTGCAAAACTGAATGAGAAGGTATATTTGATAGTATGGAATTATTGTTTTTGAGGAAGTAATGGCGGCATTTTTCCAGGTGCTTGAGCTAGAAGCTACTGAAAGAAGGCTCATGAAGAGATTAGCGGAATTAGAAGGTTCCCAATTGTTTGTCAACACGCTGAAGGAGGAACATTCATGAGAGTAGCAGGCATTTTTGTTGTGAATGTACTTTTGGTATGTTTTACAATTGCTTCCTTTAGGCAGTCGTTTCAGCTGAATAGTTTTAAATATGGAATTCTTATATTCATAGAGTCGTTGAGCCTTTTATGGTTTCCCTAAATCTAGAATTATTTATACCGCATAGTTATATTGATTTGCAAACTTGTATCTCCGTTTTGTACGGGTTTCTTCTTGTGTTATTTCAGTTGTGTTTTTCTACAAAAAATTGTGACTAATTAACATGTTTTATATAAAATTTGGATTTTAGGGTGTTCTATTTCCGAGGATTAATTCAGAGGCAAGTTGCCAGGTATTTCGATGGGAATTTAATTTATTGGTAGTAATAAGAAAAGTTCAAATTCAAATTGTCAAAGTACAGAACTAGAAAATTCTAAATTCTAAAAATTCCCTTCCATTGAGGCGAACTCTTCCGTTGGGTGGGCGCTTCCGTTGAGTCGGACGCTGCCGACTCGTTGAGGCTGATTTTGTCCCGTCGAAGCGGTCTGTTCCGTCAAGGCAAATTTTTCTGCCCAGCGGTTGTCCCAGTACCCTGGCGGACCGGCCCTGCGCCATCAAGCCGGTGCAGCTACGACGACTGCCGCCGTGGCCTGCTCCATCCTGGGAGGTGGCGCGGGGAAATTTCAGTGCTTTAAAGGAATGGGACGGCTTTTGGTCGACGCCATGCACCGTGGCTTTTGTCGCCGATCTTCTAACTCGAAGATCTTCAAGCATGCAAACTTCCTGACCATGCGATCACCCAGCAAGCTACCCCATCTCCGGATGGCCGGCCAAGATCGATAAAATACCACTTCTCACACCCCTTCTATCCCCATGCCTTCTGATCAGGTCTATGAGCATCCTGCACGGCTCTCAGAAACTCCTGCTACGTATCTAACGATGGCTTCAAAGCATTTTCACATCCGATCTGCTGCACCTGTAATGCGAGACTAGCGTCAGATATGGAGCAGTGACCTGCCATGGGCATGCGATCTAAACATGAGATTCTTGTCCAAGCTCAGCATTTCTATCAACTTTCTTTTGGCCTCCAGTTTTTAAACCCGTTTTTTTTCAGTTTTTTTAAAATGGTTATTGAAAAGGTGAAAGATAGAAAAGAAGCCGAAAACTTAGAAAAAATTTGGGTTTAGAAGTCGCAAGCAATGAACTAAAAGGAACCATTGAAACGATTTATTCGTGCAGGATCTGTGAGGAGACGGGAGCTAAATAGCTGGTCAGCTAGATATCAAAAAAGCCGAACAAAATGGGAAGCAGTATTGGGCTGTGGATGAGTTGTGAGATGAAGGACGTGCCTGGTTTCAATCATAAATCGGTACCTAGTCGAATTTGTTTTGTGTTGCAAGCGACCTTATGTTCGTACACGTTACTATGAATTGAACGGGTTCCAGGTAAAAGATTGGTTGCTTTCATAGTCCACGACCAGTCGCGCGACTAGTCGTGGACTATGAAACATGCCATTGCAAAATAAACGTCCAAACTGAATACTTGTGGCAACCACATGAGCACCTCCAGCGCTAGACGAGTTGTGCTTTGTTGAGCACCTCGGCTCGACGGCCGAGTCCACACTACACATTACTGGTTGTACAGTTTTTATGTTCATACCTAGGAACTCCTGTACCTCTACTTGTTGGAAACTATTGTAATAAAGATTTTCTTGTTTTGTTCTTTGTAAAATGAAAAAAAGGCAGAACCCCAGGGTTATGCTTTATGGACATCTCGGCAACTGACTTTTGCAAGCGTAATGGACAAACGAGGAACGAAGTAGTAGTTACGGACCCATGGAATGCGGCGGGCAACCGTCACAGTGCATGCCATTGATGGGAGCGGGTGAAGGCAGTGGGTAAAAGAGACCGTTACCGTACTTCGAGAGCATAACGATTCAAGAGCCTCAGATCGATGCTCTGTGATAGACATGTGTAACATCAAAATTGTTTTCTGTGGAGCCGCAGGACTGCAACCTCTTAAAGGGGACGCAGAGATACTTGGGATCCCTTCTGGACTTGAACGCGGTCGTTTCACGGTAGCCTGCATGCGAACCTTTCCCACAACAGCGCACTTGGCACTTCATTGTTCAGTGTGGTAATATGGCGCACAGGTAGCAGGGGCGCGCACTGGGTGTGAGGTGGGAGGATCCATGCTCGCGTGAGGCCATGTTTTGCCAATCACCCTTATCATTTATCAGTCTGCCGTCCCTTCTTTAAAGATTTGCCGCACTCAACCTGATTGGAATACGTTTCACTCGCGATAGGGGTCGGTGGCATAGTCGTCATTCGCGGGTTCAGCCTGGATGCGGGTGTTCGCATCCGAGCAGCCTAGGTTCAGCCCAGGTGCGGGCGACGCTCATTGTCACTAGTTGGCGATGGAGTGTTCACCTTCGGGCAGACCTCCGCTGAGCACCCACCGCTCAAGTGCGTCGTCCTTTGGACTAGGATGGCATAGGCGGTGGAGTCGTGCGGCGGAAACTACGCCGACAGGCAAATTTTTATGCCCAGCGAGGGTTGTTCAACTCTTGCGGGCCCCTTTTGAAGGCGCCACCATGGTGGAGCAGCTGCCGGTGGCGGCTGCTGCCGCCGTGGGGTCGCTCCATGCTTGGAGCGAGGAGTGGCGTGTGCAATTTTCCAGTGCCGGCACGGTACGGTACGGCCTCCGGCCAACTTTGGCCTAGAGGTTCTGCCGCGCTGCGGCGTGAATTTTGTCTTCGGACGACCGGGTGGTCGATATCGATCAATCGGATCGATGGGTTTGCTCGATCGATCGGCCAGGGAAGCCCGCGATGGGACGAAAATGGAGAAAAATCGGTCTCAGGCGAGAAATTTGCGGAAAATCGGCAAAAAATTGCAAATTGGCAAAAAGTTGTGCATGCCCGGTCTAGAACCCGGATCCCGTGTGCACCAATGGCCCTACATCGAACTGAGCCATTTGTCTCCACATGTTATAGGGTTTGAAGGGGTCTGATAAACCTTGCGCACTGAACCTCCCATACTGACAGTGTGGTCCTTCAACCCCACCAATTCCCTGACCAAATGCTCACCTATCAGCCGGCCAACGCACATCGATCAGTGAAACCAGACCGATAGGAACCTCGTCTGTCCCTCAAGCAAAAAGACCGAGAACCCTATCACCGTACCCGGCCCACTCCTCAGTGGCTTCCATCGACCGACTCACCAATCAGTCAATGGATCGGCCACCCAGGTGGTGCATGTGACGGGCCACCCACATCTCGTCTCCCTGCTTCGTATCTGGCGCTGGTCTACCACAGGCACAGCATATCGATAGTAGAGCGAACAGCCTTGCTAGTTTACAAATCATATGTCCACTGGTACTTTTATATTTTTTATTTCTACTAATATATTAATGTCGTATGTGCTTTTTTTGAATTATCTATATTTCCGATTTTTGTAGTAATTCTAGGTTTTGGACGGGGCCTCCATGAACCATGAATTAAAATTAATTTTTTTCGTTTTCGCAGTAGCTAGTAATAAGATAATATTCTCTCCAACCGGTTTTTATCACAGTGTGATGGTTGTTCTTCGTCACCCCTCTACTTTTTCTTTTATCCCCCAGGGCAACTTGGTGTGCCTTCCTTCCTACTTTTTTCCTTTCAACTGTTTTCTTTCGCAATTACGCTCATATGCTCTACAAACGTTTTATCCTGGGGTTTCTACTTCTTTCTGGGGGCTTTTCTAATTGCTCTTCTCTATCATATTAACTGTACTTATGTGTTCCACAAATCTCAATAAATCTATGTTCTGTCCCTTCGGTATTCTGTCTGTACACTGCCTGTCCTGCCTGTTATATTTTTTAATTTAATTTAAGTTTAATTTAATTCTTGTGTGAATTTGATTATTGCTTTAATAAGAAAACTTTTTCATGTATTCCCTCTTATTTTTCGTGGGGAAATTAACCTGCTCATTGAAAAGCTCTAATAAGAGCCTACCCGGGATCCATCAGGATGAGACGCGCGCGGATGCGATACGGCTGCGCCACTGATTGACCATATTAGTCTTCTTGATGTCTGCTGTCTGTAGATAATACTGCGCATATTTAGTTTTTGGAAAAAAATGTCTGAGACCATTAAAATACCGCGTGGGTAGTGCTTACATTGTTTATCCCTTACACGGTTACCTCGGCGAATCGGATCAATGATGAACTGTTATTGAATTGGGTTAGGTTATTCGGTTTATGGAAGTCTTTGCATGTGGATTTTGTCTCAGCATCTGTTATTAGGCTCTCGAGGGAAGAAGGCTTTTGGCGTTGGTCAATCCTGTTTTGGGATCAGACCCGCATTCGACCCTAAATTAGAATCGTAGCGACTTCTGGAATGTGTAGGTGGCCTATGTCCTATACAAGGGCCTGCTGTGGCCGTACAATTCATTGATTCATTCTTCTGATACGAGTTCGGTACGGATCCGACTGAACCGACTCCGTAAATGGTTGGCTTTGTCGGGTATCCAATCCGGACTCGATCTTGGGACCACGTAGTGATAGCTGTCTCACTACCTCGATGTTTTTCGTATGTAATGATTTTACCAATTAAAGGAATATTTGCTACTCTGTCAATTAACACATGGTAGTCATAGTATGTAAATTTCTTTTCAGGACCTGCTCACTTCTCAGCATTCCTTGCCCAACACAATGTGCCACCTCGACTTATACCTCGCCACATCTACAGTCTTATGATGTCGAGATCCTTCAGCTTTTTTTCTTTTTCTCTACCCATCCTCCCTCCCCCAACTTACGTGATGCCGCTTACTGTGACTCAACAATGTTATATATCGATTTGCAAANTTATATTATGGTTGAAAAATAAATATTATAAAACGTGTCATTTTCGTGTTTCAATCATTGCAACGAATGGGTTCCATGGAATGATGTTCATGGCACATTCTCCAGATGATGCATGTAAAAGAAAGATGTCCATAGTGCAAACAAGATGAAGGGAATTGAAAAAGACGCTTATTTATA